CAAGTGTGTTGAAGATACGTTTGGAAAGTGCAAACTGAACAAGCACACATACACAAACTGTGCCGTTCGGTACAACAAGACCGATGATGGGAGCGTCACTCTTGATCAGGACGAATACATCAAACAGCTTCGTCCTATCACACATCCAGAACTCACAGGCGCTGATCCTGAGAGCAAAGCGACAAAGACGATTTCTGATATGTTCGTCAGTCTTCGTGGCGCTCTAGCCTATGCGTTGATCACGCAGGTATGGCTGATGGTCTATGTCGTCTCACTACAACGTATCCAGGAACCGACAAACATCCAGGTACGACGACTAAACGCGGTTACCAGTAAATTGCAGGCAGGTCCGAAGAAGATCGTGTATCAAGCTATGACTCCAACAGGAGAGGTCGACCTGCATAGCGATTCTGGCTATCGTCGTCTCAACGGAGATGAAGACGACGAAGTCAAAGGCTACGGTATCCGCGGGGCTAACCTGCTGAGGCGTGGCCACACGCAAGCGGGGAAACCCGTCGTGCACCTGGTGGACGCATACTGCAAGTCTCATCGACTGCAGGTGCGTTCGAGCTACTCTGCGGAAACACTGGCAGCAGCCCACAACTTGGAAGACTGCTACCCGACCATTGTAACGCTCCACGAGCTACACTCGGGACCATTGACCCCCACACAGTTAAAGAACATATTGGAAATGGGTGGTCTATGTATCAAAGTCACTCTGACTATTGATGCCGAGTCTGTCTTCAAGTCTTTGTCTAGCAAAGATCTGAAGAAGCCCACAGAATGCACTCTGCTTGGGCACATTAGCTGGATCCGCCAGATGATGGAGCGCGGAATCGTTGAAAGCGTCCAATGGTGTGACACGCGGGATATGACTGCCGATGGTCATACCAAAGGTAGTATTGACCGCGCGTTGCTCCTACAGGTAATGGCCGGCCAGCAATCCTTCAAGCACGAGCTGAAGAAACATACTCCGTATAGGGCGGGCAGGTCGTCTCAGGACGGCCCTGCCTCCCGAGCTAGCGGGGAAACCCGCATGCAGGTGCGCTCTAGTAGCGAGGAAACTCGCCGGTAGCGAGGCTACTCGCGCGCCCTTACCTTGTAGGCAGCCGCTGTTGCCTAGCACTGTTTTTCCGCGTAATGAAGAAGTGCGGTGCTTGCTCGTCTCCTCCCCCTCCAACTTTAAACGGAGAGGGTTAAAGGCGAGATGTATATCGAGCATGCACCGCTGCCGTGCCTGGCTCAAGCCGGGCCCGGCCTAATATGTGATTGTGCCTCATTGAGGCGCACTACTTGTATCTGAGATCGGAAAATACCTTTTCCATTGACGATGCCCCTTCTATCCTTTACTCCAGATCCCATGCTTCGTCTTGCTCTCTTGCTCATGCGATATGAGCCAAAGCCTGGGATATGGGAGCGCCTAAGGCGGAACATATATCATGGCTTACCAGTGCGTTTTCGACTGGTGACGCCCACATGCGAACGGCGACACCGGGACCTTACGTGGGGCCCCCGATGGGGCCACGATACGTGCGAGGGGTGTGCCGAAACGGGGGTAACGCCCACATGCAAACGGTGCCACGGGGGCCCTAGGAGAGACGAGCGTCGATGGGCATAGGCGGGCAGCTGCGGTGCAGGCCGTGCGCGTAGCACGCGCTGTACGCGTGCCTGGGTGGTGTGGAGACAGCTGGGCCCCAAGAGGAGTGGCGCAGCCCTGCCAGCCAGGCCGGGCTCCACCACTGCCAGAAGACGAGGGCGCTTTGCAGCAGCAGGCGGTGGCATGCACAGTACGTATGTCAACAAGCCGGCAGGAGGGCGAGGGGAAAGGCGGGGAAGAGAGGAGCGACAGGGAAGGGGAGCTGGGCATGGGAACACCATGCAGACGCCGCGCACTCCCAGAACGGAGGGAGCGCGAGCGATAGCAGAAAGACGAAGAACACGACGAGGAGGGGGGAGAGAAGTGGGAGGAACAGGCCAGGAAGGCCCGAACGGCCAGGCGGGATAGGGGATTTGGCACGCGCTGCAAGCGTCCTGGGGTAGTGCGGTCGAGTAAGCCATGCCAGAGCCCCAGCGGCTAGCAGTTCGCAGCGCCCAGCGCGTGGCAACGCCAGCGCAAACAGATTACGGAGACCGCGGATTTCAGCACGAGTGCCGGGTCATGCGTTGTTCCAGGGCTCGAGCTGGTCCTGCTGCAAACCAGAGCGGACGAGGAGGGAGGCGAAGAGAGTGACAGAGAAAGACAGAGAGAGGGAAGCAGAGAAGCATAAAGAGAGTAGAGAGGGAGAGAGAAACCGGCGGCACCGAGAGGCTTCGGTAACAGGCCAGGCGGGCCAGCGCGCCTTGCACCAGGCCGTTGCCTTTCTAAGACCACACACATCACTCATCCACACACGTACACACACACACACACACACCTGGAGTGAATGTGTACATGCCTCCGCGCCATTTCTTCCGACGCGCGGCCATCCGTCTTGAGGAGGGCGCCGCGGCCAACAGGGCAAATTCCGCCTCGCGCGCAGGGTTTCCCGCGGCACTGGCCTCGTCTAAATGGGGCGCGAGACGTAGGGTTTGCCGTGGTGTCGGCTTCGTCCATTTGGGCGCGTCGAGAGCACACGGCGCGGCAACAAGATATAACATGTGTATATATATATACATCTACATATACAGGCGTGTGTCTGTTTGATTCTATGTATGTATCTAGGCATGCATGTAGGCATGTAAGTCTGTATAACCGCATGCCGATGACAATAAAGGGACCCCCCCTTCAGTGTTTAGAGTTGATTACCGTCGCCCTATACAAGATTCAAATTGGGCGGCGAGCGCTGAGGCCGAACTCCATTATCACCTCGAAACGCTATGTTGAGATAGCAACATCAAGCGATGTTGATATAGCAACATCAAGCGAAGCGATCACACTTTTTCAGGATGTGTCAAGCGAAACCAATAGTTTTGGGAGGCAGACTCAAACGAAACGAGCAATGTTCTTATTATTCTTCTACTTTCATCTTCTTCTTTTATATTTCTATCTGTCCTCACGCTCGCCTGAACTTTTTTATCCCTGGGGTTGATTATCCATGGAAAATGAAGCACATGAGCTACCCTACACGAGCACTTAAAAAATCAATTTTCATAAAGCGCTTGTACATTAAAATTGATAGATTTGGAACTTTGGATGTTTCCTTTCTTCGTCCTCTTCTTTTCTCCTCTTCTTCTTCTTTCTTATTATTCTTCTACTGTGTTCGTCTTCTTTTATATTTCTCTCTGTCCCCACGCTTGCCTGACCTTTTTTTATCTCTGGGGTTGACTATCCATGGAAATTGAGGCACATGAGCTACCCTACACGAGCACTTACAAAAAACAAGTTTCATGAGAGATAAGCCATTGTTGAGGATATTTCTATGAAAACTAAACGCCAAGGATGTCTCAAAACGTGCTCGGCTTGGTCTCCTCTTGATCATCTCTTACTTCGAGATTATGCTGAGGTCTGCTGGGCTACTTTTATTATCTCTCCCTGAACCCCGAACTTTATTACCTCCTAGTGTTTATTCTCACGGGCATGAGGTTACCTGTTTGTATTACTTTTAGCACAGCATGGGCACCAGTGCGAGGCGCCGCTGTCTCTTGGGGAGCCCCCCGCCGAGAGGAGAGAAGGCCCAGGGACCAGGAGGCCAGGGCCAGGAGGACCCAGGAACCCAGGACGGCCCAGGCCCCCAGGAGAAGAGGGAAGAGAGCGGCACAAGCCCCCGCTCAGCTCTCGGCGGCACGCTCGCGCGAGGAGGCGGCGCGCGCGCCCCGCGCAGCCTCGCCTTCCGCCGCCGCCCCAGCCCCGCGGCCGAGCGGGCGCCCCAGCCGAAGGGCGGGCGGGGGCGAGGCGCCCCGACGGCGCGCCTCGGCAGGCGCGGGCACGGACCGCGTCTCAGTGGTCCGCCCGCCGCGCCCGTCCACCAGCCTGAGGATCACGTCCATCAGCGTTGGCCCAACCACACCTGAGGGCTCCGATGGAGCCCGCCTGGGGGCGCGGTGTCCTGCAGCTCCTCGCCGCCGATCCTGATCATGGCCTTCTTGAACGTGGTCGCGACCTCGGTCGCCCCCATCGCCATGCACCCTCGAGTGAGCTTCTGGTCGCACATGACTTTGGAGTACTTGAAGCCCTTGTCGCTGACCTGGGCCTGGAACGCCTTCACTTGCCCCTCGAGGTCGGATCCCGTCACGTCCGCCATGCTGGCGCGGGAGCGCACCGCCGCCTCCGTGAGGTAGGGCAGCGGCGGCCCCAGGCCGCGCAGCGAGGGGCTCTTGCCGCGGCCCATGTAGCCGTAGGTCGTGCCCCCATCCTTCACGTTCTTGATCACGTCGTGGTCGAGCGGCACCTTGAACGTGAAGCAGGCCGACCCGAGGTCGCGGAACAGGAGGTCGTGCGAGAGCACCAGGCACGCCATCGCGGCCATCGTCCCCTCGCCCTCGCCCCGCTGGCGGCGGGCGCGAGGCTCCGCGGCGGCCTTGGCCCTGCCTCGCGGTAGGGGCGCCGCCTCGTCATGGTCCGCCTCTTCCCCTCGACGTGGACCTCCTCCCGCGGGGCGATGGCGCACACGACGGCCGCCTGGAGGGCCTCCCTCCACCACGCGCGCCCCGCCCTCGGCCACGGCTGGCGCACCCGCCAGAGCCCAACCAGGTGCTTGCCGCATGGCAGCGAGGTTTCGGAGGCCGCGGCGGCAGCAAGACTGGTCTCCGTCCAGCGAAATGCACAGAGAGGAAATGGCTGTAGTGGTGCTCCAATGCCGGTGACAGCTCGCCACACACAGGACATCGCATGTCATCTGGGACCAACAACTTCGGCGCCGCATACGCAGAGTCCACCAGCGATGTCGCACCGCCGCGGGCACCTCCCGCGACGGTGGGCACTGGGCCGCCCAGCCGCGAACCCGAAGCACCCGCGGATCAAGTTGAAGGACTTCATCTCGCAGGGGTCCTTCCAGCAGCAGGAGGGGGCGCCCGCCCCACACTTCCAGCAGGTCCGCGCGCTCCGACGCGCGCATGAGCAGCTTCATGTCGTCCACCAGCAGCCTCGCGAGCGCCGCAGCTCCCTCGCCCAGGCGGCCGCCCTCGCCCAACACGGGCTGCAGCACGAAGGGCAATTGTCCAAACAGCGCCGTGAGCTCCATCTCGAGGTCCTCGGGATGGCGCACCATGCACTTCATGAACCCGAGCCTCACCACGGGTAACTCGGTCTCGATGTCCGCCATCTGCAGCAGCTGACGCACGACCTGGGCGGGCATGGCCCTGTGCTGGTAGCCCTCCTCCGCCAGGAAGCCCCGCGACACCCGCGCACCCAGAGCCGAACGGCCTAGGCGCAGAGCGGCCCCCCCAGGGACGTCAGGAAAGACTGCGTGGGCACAACCGCAGCCGTCCCAGAGAGGATGGCCCCCAGCACCTTTGAGCGGAAGACCTGGCGCACCACCTCGACGGAGACCTCGGACTTCCAGAAGCGCCCCATGTCCGCGAAGCCCCGCGTGGCCGCCGCCACGCGAGCCCTGACCTCCGTCGCCAGGCCGCCCTGGTAGTGCAGCATCGGGCCGAGGTAGCGGGCGACCGTCGAGCAGTTGCCCCGCACGCCGAGCCTGCCCGCGAAGAAGGCCCTCGTCCAGGCCCTGGCCCCCGCACCACGGAAGGCACACATAGTGTACTGCTTGGAGATGTTCTGCTGGAAACCGCGCGGCTCCAGCAGCCCGTCCAACAGCTCGTCGGAGGCCTTGTGGTTCTTGATCACGGTGTCGTGGCACCACGAAGCGAAGCGCTTGTATAGGTCGCCCGCGAACTTCGTGAGGCTGAGGTCGAGCACGGTGCCCGTGACGACGGACTTCGCCTCCAGCAGCTGCGCGTCGGGGCGACCCGAGTCCTCGATGGCCCACTCTGTCGCCACCGGCGTGAGAACCTCAAGGAAGAGCGGGGGCCAAGCGAGTCACCGATGAGCACGCCCTGGTTGGTCTTCATGCGCAACGCTCCCTCGGCCGTCTCCACCTCGCAGTGGTAGTCGAGGACCCTGCGCGACACGATGGGGTGGTCCTCCTCGCGCACCATGCCCTCCAGGCCCCGCAGCATGTCTCGCGCGGACGGGCACTGGAACGCCTTGCCCAGGTCCTTGAAGCTCGTGAGCGCCGCGAGGCCGAAGTGCGCAGCCCGCTCGGCCACCACCGCCGCAACCGCCAAAGCCCCGTCCCTGGAGCCCCTAGGGACAAAGCCGACGTCATTTGGCGCCGCCTTCTCCTTCTGGGCCCTCGCCGCCAGCACCGAGGTGTAGCACTTGCCGATGGGGCGCATCACATGGATTATCCTGCCGATGTCCGCAGCCCTGGACCTGGACCACGCGAGGGGGGCCGCCTGAAACACGCGGACAAGGGCCAAGCAGTGCAGCATCCTCTCCCTGAACGCCTTCATGCTCGGGGGCTCCGACCTGTAGCCGATGCCCCCGCCCTGCGCCACCGCCGCCATCGG